CTACGGCAAGGAGCTGGGCGAGGACTCCAACTTCGGTGAGTGTGCTGTGGGGCCAGCTCCCCTGAGGAGCGTGTGGGTGTGACGGCCGAGGCCGCTGCCGGATTTGCAGGCTGTGTGACCCTCTGCCTCACCGACCGGTGCCGGGGGCTCTTGAGAGGTTTGAAGGCTTCCTCCTCGCAGGGAAGGGACGAGCAGAGTCTCTTGTCCAGGCCCAAACCCACCTCTTAATTTTTTTATTATTAAACACTGAGATAAATTTGCAGGTAGGAAAGAAAAAAATGTTTCTGTGCTCCTAAACTGAACAGCGGTGACGTGGAAACGATAGATGGAGCGAGATTCAGAGTTTTATGGTGCTGGTTCCAGCTAAAGTTCTGCTCTAGGCAGGCTGTAGCCAAGAAATCTTTTTGCATGATGAGTTTTCATAACCATGAGTGACTTGCAGGGAGGGAGGAGGAGGGTGAAGCCTTTCAGTGACATCAATTTTTAATCCTCTAAAACATCAGCCAGAGCACGTGACAGACCCGGTACAGTGCACAGCTGGGTGATGGCTTCCAGCGCAGGGAGGAGCCTGCGTGCCTCGGGAAAATTAAAAAGCTCTGGCTACTACGTGGGAATGACAAAGGATTCTTGAGAGTGTCTCTGGCCAGTTCCGAGCCCTACATTGCTCTTGGCTCGCAGGAACCGGGCTTATGACAGAGAGAAAGAGGGAAGGAGGTTTTTAGAAGAACACACTAAACCTGAGTTCTCTTAGCTTGATACAAATTGTACGTTTAGTCCTGCATCCCTCCCCGGGACAGGTTTTCTGGAGTTATCACAGTTGGAACAAGTCTTCTTGTATATTTAATTTTCCAGCTGGACAGTACGGTGATGTTTTCACTTTATGCTCTGTTGCACTTGCGTATTCTCCTGTGCTAACATAGCGCTGAAGCGGTTGGTTTGCCAAAGCTGCGCAGGAATAATTTGGTCTATAAATGGTTTCTGCTGGAGTACAAAGCCAAGGCTAAACATGCTTTGCTGCAAGCCTGTCTGGCTTAATGTCGTTGTGGCAGGAGCCTTAGAAAAGCGTGAGACTAAACAGGTTTCAGTGAGCAACTCTGAGCCCTCTAATTCAGAGGGGAGGAGAAGGGGTAAGGTTGGCCTGGTAGAGGTTAGTGTCTGAAAGGAATAAAAGGCTGCAAGTTTGCTGCCAGCATCTGGAGAAACTTGAAAAGTCGGTCACAACGCTCTGGGCTTGAAATCATCTGAACAAAAGGATGGCCAAGCTGGATCAGACCAACACGCCTCTGCCCCGGGCTTCTCTTGCCAGCAGAGGAGCAGAGCGAGGTTAAAGTGCTGTAGTGCCAATTAGCGGCTCAGCAACTCCCTGAGCCAACAGGGAGTTTAAAAACACTGCTTTTTAAAATATTTTCACCTTTTCCTTCCTCTCCGTAGTCGGCAGAGATCGTTTCTATTTCTCAGAGGAAAAAAAAATGTTAGTCAAGTGTGCTGCGTGGAATTGCCTGCTCTCACGCCAGGCATCGCTCACGCCCCGCCAGGCTCCGAGATTTACTCTCGTTAGAAACTTTTGCAGGGGGTTGGATGGGGCCGGGGCTCGCACACGCTGGGTGTCTCGGCAGAACGGCTCTGCTTGCAGCAGCCACGGCGCTGGTTAACTGGCTGGCCCCTTCTCCCCTTCTCTTCCCCCCCCGTTCTCGCTCGAAGGCGACGCACTTCTTGACGCCGGCGAATCTATGAAGCGGTTGGCCGAAGTGAAGGACTCGCTGGATATCGAGGTCAAACAAAATTTTATTGATCCCCTCCAGAACCTGTGTGACAAAGACCTGAAAGAGATCCAGGTAAACACCGCTACATTGTTCTTTCCTCCTCACCTCTTTCGTTTCTGGCCTCTCCTGGCTCTTGGTGCTTCTGACCCCTTGCTCTGGCGTGGTGGGAACTGCAGACTTGTGTGGGTATCGGGTCTGTTCCCCTGGACTTGTGCTTTTTCTCCCCACGTTCACTATTATTTCCTCCTGCTGCTGCTCCTGAGCAGCTCGTGAGGCTGGGTGCAGGTTCAAATGCTTATTCATTCGCCATGTGTAGTGGAAGGTGCTGCGGGGTTACGTCCCAACACACATCCCGGGCTTGCTGCATTTGGTTCTTTGTGCTGCAGGCTCCCAGCCACGCTACGTTTGGGCTGCCTGGCATTAAACTTCACAGTGTTCTTTGCAGCTGCTGGCTCTGTTGTGTTAGTAGCTTGGATCCCAAACGCAATTCTCAAGCTCTGAGCAAGCTTCCCTCTGAGTCTCATAGGCAGCATCTCAAGAAGGCCCTTTGGTGCCTGTATCAGAAATGGTGTGACCAGCAGGAGGAGGGAGGTGATCGTGCCCCTGTACTCGGCACTCGTGAGACCTCACCTCGAGTCCTGTGTCCAGTTTTGGTCACCACAGTACAAGAAGGACATCGAGGTGCTGGAGCGGGTGCAGAGAAGGGCAACAAGGCTTGTGAGAGGTCTGGAAAACAGGCCCTGTGAAGAGCGGCTGAGGGAACTGGGTTTGTTTAGTCTGGAGAAGAGGAGGCTGAGAGGAGACCTTGTTGCCCTCTACAGCTACCTAAAAGGAGGCTGTAGTGAGGCTGGTGCTGGTCTCTTCTCTCTAATTACTAAGGACAGGACAAGGGGAAATGGCCTCAAGTTGCGTCAGGGTAAGTTTAGATTGGATATTCGGGGGAAGTTCTTTCCTGAACGAGTGGTGAGGCACTGGAACCGGATGCCCAGGGAGATGGTGGAGTCCCAACCCTGGAGGTGTTTAAAAAACAGTAGATCTAGCACTTGAGGCTGTGGTGTAGTGGTTGGGTGTGGTGGGATGAAGGTTGGACTGGATGATCTTCAGAGGTCCCTTCCAACCCCTGACATTCTGTGGTTCTGTGATTCTGTGTCTCGCTGGGAGCTCGGTTGTCTCCTGTAGCAGAGACAAGCCCATGCCAAGCACAGCCAGGCTTTGTAATAGGATCCATCCCAAACTGTAATTCATGAGGCAGCTCTCGAGTGAGTTTTCGCTTACAGGGGTGTCCTAGATAAAATAACTGCCAGCTGCTGTTCCAGTACTTATCTGGCCTCCAGTTCTGCAGGCTGCCGTAGACCTAATTTAAACAGCTCGGCCCTGAGCAGTCAGGGGACACGGCGCTCGGAACCTGCGTCCCCATTCCTGGTCTCCAGAGATCCCCGTTGCTCCTTGGGCAACTGGACAGCTCTTCATCTTCCCGAAAGGCTTGCACAGGGGGCAGACCCGGGCTGCTCCCTGCAGTGTTTTCCTCCAGCTCTCAGCTGGAAGGGGGTGAATTCACATCACCATGCCAATTTGCAGCTCTCTGTCACATCCTGGAGCCTCTCCGGAGTCTGAACAAAGGTGGGAGCCACAGAAGCGTGTGCTCCAAGGTCAGGTTTCTGGAACAAATGAACTCGGCCTGTAACTAGAGCTGCCTTCCCAGCAGGAGAGCTTGGCTGTTCCTTCTTTCCTTGTACTGTTCATAACCCTCCTCTTCCCAGCACCATCTCAAGAAGCTGGAAGGCAGACGCTTGGACTTTGACTACAAGAAGAAACGACAGGGCAAAATCCCCGATGAGGAGCTCCGACAGGCCATGGAGAAATTTGAAGAGTCCAAGGAAGTAGCGGAGACCAGTATGCACAACCTCCTAGAAACTGATGTGAGTGCGTGGCGGGAGCGCCAGTTCCTCTGGTTCCTCTGCCCTGGCTGAGAGCTGCCGGGCGGGTTGCAAGTGTCTGTGTCCACAAGGAGGGGAATCTCTCAAGAGATGCAGAAGTTAGAGACTAATTTCCACTCTTGTTCTTGCAAACGTGGTTTTGAAAACCCGGATCCGAGAGGCCAGCACGTGGCTTGGCAGGCCTCTTACCCTTTCGGTCGCTCCTCTGCCTGATCCCGAGGAGAGGCTGTGGCTTGTACTTCTCAGTGTGCTGGTGGGAGTGATTTGGGCGGCTTACTTGGGAAGGATTTGCACAGAAAATGAAGCCTAGAGAGTGGTGGGAGGTGTCCTCTGTCCTGGTCAGCCTCAGCCAGTGCCTGACCTCTGGTGTCTGATAACCCAACCCTTGTCCTCATCTCCCTGGGGAAGCTGCCCTTTGTCGCCATTCCCCGGTATGGTCTCGGCCCCCGTGTGTGATGCTCCTGTCAGCTGGGCAGAGCCATTCATCCCTCCTTGGTGTGACTCTCGCAGATCGAGCAGGTGAGCCAGCTCTCAGCCCTGGTGGACGCCCAGCTGGACTACCACAGGCAGGCAGTGCAGATCCTGGACGAGCTTGCGGAAAAACTCAAACGCAGGTGAGTCCCGGAGTGCTGTGGGCACTCCCAATTTTTGCAGCCACAGGTTCTCCCTGTGATACTTGTCTGTAAGTGCTTCGCTCTCCCTCTGAATCTATTCCCTGGTGTTAAAGCTGCTTTTTGTAATCACTGGAACCTCAATCCAGACCCCCTCCAGCTCCGAGAGAGCGATGCACAAACCGCTTTCGATGACATTCCAACATCTGAAACAAATCCTCTGTGCTTGCGCCGGCGGCAGCTGAGCCCCGCTGGAATCGGGGTGTGCAGCTCCCAGGGAGGCTGGAGTTGAGTTTGGCAGGGGTGGAGGAGAAGAGTAAAATCTCCTTCCTGGCAGGGCTCACGGCTCCTCCCAGTCTGGCCACTGAGCCTGGGAGTGTCCCCCAAGAAGTGCCATTTGGCCAGACCCAGGATGGAGTCAGAAGCTGCATCACGCTGTTGGAACAGATGGCTCAGATGTCACGAGCTGGACGCGCCTGTCATCCTGCGTTACCTGGAACTGCCTCGCCTAGAGTCCTTGTGCCATTAGCTTAAGTTAAGGTTAAGGAGGGCACCTACTGTGGCCCAGAAAAATCTGTGTCAAGGGCTCCCAGTTGCTCTGAAGGCCAGAAGGTGAATGCAATGGGGTGAGGCTGATGTGGTGGCCGCAGGGCAGTTGGAAGAGCACCTCCATCACCTCTTTAAAGGCTGGCACCTGTCAGCCCTCCGCCAGAACCCGCGTCTTCCAGCAAGTGCTACTCACCCTTCGCCCGACATGACAATCTGCTGCCGGTGGCGCGCTGCCGTCGCG